TTTCTATAGGCAGATTTAATTGCAGTTCTGCTTGCACTTCTACATCTAATAGGGCTCTGTTTCCATATGGATAACATACTTGTTGTTTGGACATCCTTTCTCCGTTTCCCTTTGCCAGACTTGAAAGTGAATTGTTTGGGGATGTCTGAAGGTCTTGCCCTCCACACACTGGTTTTAATCCCTTGATTTCAGGGTTGCATTCAGTTTCAGGCTTTACCTTACATGTCGTGTCTGTGCATCTCTGGCTCCACTTTCCCAGCCTGACTTCATCCCAACCTCATCCCAGCAAACTTGCCCAATGATCCAGGGCTGTGACTGTCCCCAGTCACTGTGACCACCCCTCTCCCAGTCACCATATACAGGTGCTGCAGGGCTCTGTCCTTGTCCATGGTCCTTCCTGCCCTGCTGCCCCCTTGTATCTCAGCTCACCCACCTTTGCAGGGCAGGCCTCTCCTGCAACTCCCCACAAACTTTGTCGACCATATTTCTTCTCTTAGGAATGTGTTTAATGAAACTAAATTAGACTTAACAAAGAGTCTTCTCTTCTTTAAAATAGCCAATATTTACACATCTGTCCTCATCTGGTGTATTAGTGATGATAGATATGAGGATTGAAGTGAAAATTCAGCTGCTTCCAAGCAGTTCCTGAGACAGCAGTATGATCCTACGCAGATCACTTTTTCTAGCTCAACTTGCTATCACTTTCCGAAATACCTGATACTGGGAAAATATTGGGGAAGTCTCCCCTTGAATTGCATAAAGAGGACTGATAGGGGACCCTATCAATGTATGTGAGTATCTGAAGGGAGGGTGGCGAAAAGATGGAGCCAAGCTCTTCTCAGTGGTGCCAAGCAGCAGGACAAGAGGCAGAAACTTATGCACAGAAAGTTCCTCCTGAACAGGAGGAAGAATTTCCTTACTGTGCTGGTGACCACAGGCTGGAACAGACTGCCCAGAGAGGTTATGGAGTCTTCTTACTGGAGATATTCAAGAACTGTCTAGACACAATTTTGTGCCATGTGCTCTAGGATGGTCCTGCTTGAGTAGGGAGATTGAACCAGACGACCTAATGTTGTCCCTTCCAATCTTTCCCAGTCTGATTCTGTGACATACTGCTGACACAGTTCAACAGTACTTCTGCTTCTATGAATATTGGCTTCAAAGTGCCATAGGTGTTAATAATAGTGGCTGTCAGCCTGTTCTGTTTCGTCTTTTCTTCCTCACCCTCTTCTGTCATTCTTCCTATCCACCTTACCCATATGAAGCTGCCTCCTGTTTGTTATTCCCTGCAGTTGCTACATACCCACAATCTCTCATCCTCACTCACCCTCACAGAGGACTATGACTTCCTCACAACACGAGCAATTTCTGTCATTACTGAACATGTAGCATCTATGTCTTCCCTGCCACATCAAATGTCCAGATACCTGATTTATGACATATAAGTGTGGTTTTGAGCTGTAGTAACTAGCCAAGAATTGTGCTGGACATTACTAAGGTCAGCTTAGACAGACAGAAAAAGCTTAGGATGGGTATTTTAAAGCACCGGAGAAGACAGGCTATTTCTTTGTCCAGCTAAATAGAGAATAGTGACCCTTCTCACTGCCTTGTTTCAGTTGTCTGGGTGAGATGGATAAAGGAGAGAGCTAGTGGAAGAGGTGACATGGTGATGCATCATACCCTGAGGAGATAAAACTTCCAAGGGGACCAGTGAATCAAAGCTGAGCACTTGCCTGAAGTGTGTGTATGCCCAAGTGATAGTTGGCAGCATCCTATAGCGAAGTAGATGCTGGTGGTTGCCCCAACACTTTCATCTGCAGTGATCCTACCAAAAGGTGGGGCAGCAAGGGTGCTCATGAGTCAGATTAAGAGAAGGAATCATCAAAAATTACACGTCATAGTTACATCCTACTGGGTTTTTTTGATCTCGTTCTGTGAATGAAATTTGCTTGTTCTGTGAATACTGGCCTGCATGCAGAGAAGATTCAATCTAGAACAATCTAGAAGGCCCCTAATGCTTTATTATTATTGTTGTTGTTGTTATTATTATTATTATTATTATTATTAAGGAGGGAAAAGAAGGGAAGAGCAGTTAGGGACTGTAGCAAACAAAGTGGCTCTTGGGAGTAAAAAGCCCACTATGACTTCCTGGGTATCACCTGAAGGAGAAAACCACAAGCTCCCTCTGAAATGCATAGGTCTTCCTAACCTCAGAATGTCTGGGAAGGAGCCATAGATATTAGCTTTCCAGTGTCTCCACTTTCTTCTCAAGGCTCACCTGCAATGCTCTAATGCTCATTTGTCATAGCCTCTGAAGAGATAGGGTACCTCAGATGCCTTCCACATTCTGAAGTATTGCAGTTAATTGCCCTCTTCCCATCCTTGTAGTGTTGCTTTCCACCACCAACTGCAGGTCTTCTGAGCCAGGGCACCAGGCAGCTGGGAAGTGACTCAGCCACTCAGTCTCTGCCTGTACCCCTTGCAGTTTATAGGAGATGGTACAGGACAGTTCAGTTCTGCAACAAGGGGTACCCTCCATAACTTTTTACTTCACCTTGACAAATCAAACCCACACCATTGTAGAAGCCAGACACATGTCAAAACAAAAA